AGAAGTTGAGTCACTTGCTTAAAGAAAGAGAGTACTGAGTGGAGCATCCAGACTTTCATCACCTCATTCTTTCTGAATCCAGAGTCTGTGATCAAACTGTGGTAATCATAAGACTTAGATTGGTTCACATTAAGAAAATAAAGTTATAAATTGTGTTGTAGGGAGGTATTAATAAGCATAATATCCATCACTGAAAGTATGCCTCCCAGTCAGCTGCCTACCCTCATGAATAGCAATTCATGAGGCCAAGGATGCTACTTTTCCTGGCAGCATCCAAATCCAAATAAGGATGATCAAAAAGAATTATTTTTTTTAAAGTCACATGTTTCTGGATTATAACTATGCGGCTTTGAAAAACAATAGCCTCTAGGGACACATCTGAAAGCAGAACTCATAAAATGTTGGCATTTGCATTTGAAAGTGTTTTCTTAAAAAACCAATAATTATATTCATTAGAGAATTGTGCTATCATCCCTCAAAGAAGGTCAGAATTCAAATTCTATCAGAAATTCTTTTCTATTTTTCTTACTCATATCATATTTCAAGAGACATTTTGTGTTTTGATTTGTTTTCTTAATTGAAATCCTGCTAAGGCTTAGTGGGAAAAGGTATATATGTGTGTGTGTGTAGTGGGGGGGGGATTTAAACCAATTCATAATTTCTGTTTTATTCTGCTTTATAATGTTTTAATCTTTTTTTTTGTAATCCAGCTTCCCCCCCCCCCAAAAAAATGCCTCTCTTGAATACTTACTGAAACATTTTTTCTAGAAAGAGAATTTTCCATTAAAAAATCTCAAAAGTCAGCAGTTTTTTAATTTAAGGTTTAAAAGAAACTAAATGCTTATTCATCCCTCCTCATTCTAAATTATCTCTGTTTTACTAACATTTCTAAGGCAAATGCAATTTTAATAATTATATATACATCTCAACAAAAAAATCCTCAGTTTACTGCTGTGTTTTACTAAGTCTATAGGAAATCAAACCACATCAAGTAATTTTGCTTTAAAATTTCTTAAGCTGATATTTTAATCATAAAATCACAGTCTTAGAAGATATGTACAAGGTAATCTTGGGTCTAACCAGTGGCATGATGACAATATTTAATGACAGGCTCTCCAGAATAAAAACAAATCCTGATTTGTAGCATTTGTCAATTTCCATGGTATAAATACTCTCCCTGTAGCCAATTTCAAGCTAACGATATGACATCACTGAAGGAAGAGCTGGGAAAAGATGTAACCACAGTCCACACACCACTGGGTCCCACAACCCTGACATCATGTGAGCTTTCATCAAAACCTCCAATAAGTCTCTGAAATCACCTTTTGGTCAGAAGTGGCTAAAGGGATGCAGATGAGAATTGTGCTTAAAAGCCAGGCTCTAGAGTCAGGCTGCCAAGACCCTAACTCCACTTTTTAAGTTGCCCTCTGTGTTACCTTGCATAAGCCATCTAACTTTCCTGTGACTCTCTTTGCTCATATGTAAAATGGTAATAATAGTTTCTATCTCATTAGAATTGCTGTGATGGTTAAATAAAATAGTGCATTAAAATGCCTAGGAGAGTTCTTGGCACATAGCTATAATAATAGGCTATTAGTCATAAATGTTAGGGATTGTTTTTTCGAGAATTCACAATTCCACTCATCAGAATGTTTTACACATTGTCATCTAAATCTTTCAGAGGTCATTGAAACCCATCCTGTTTGATAGCAATACTCTGAGAGAAGCCAGTTATAGAGGGAAGAGCACTAAGTAAGAAGTCATACATTAATAAACAAGATGTGGTACATATATACAATGGAATATTACTCAGCCATAAAGAGAAACGAAATTGAGTTATCTGTAGTGAGGTGGATGGACCCGGAGACTGTCATACAGAGTGAAGTAAGTCAGAAAGAGAAAAACAAATACCATAGGCTAACACATATATATGGAATCTAAAAAAAAAAAAAAGGTTCTCAAGAACCTAGGGGCAGGACAGGAATAAAGATGCAGACGTAGAGAATGGACTTGAGGACACAGGGAGGGGGAAGGGTAAGCTGGAATGAAGTGAGAGAGTGGCATGGACTTATATATACACTACCAAACGTAAAATAGCTAGCTAGTGGGAAGGAGCCGCATAGCACAGGGAGATCAGCTCAGTGCTTTGTGACCACCTAGAGGGGTGGGGTAGGGAGGGTGGGAGGGAGACACAAGAGGGAGGGGATATGGGGATATATGTATATGTATAGTAGATTCACTTTGTTATACAGAGGAAACTAACACACCATTGTAAAGCAATTATACTCCAATAAAGATGTTAAAAAAAAAAAAAGTCATACCTTAGTTACTAGTCACAGTTTTGCCAAAGTCTAGGTTTGTGACTTTTGCCAAACCAGTTTACTTCAAGAGCTTTGGCTCTCTCATTAGTAAAATATGGAAAGTAATGACCACCCTGCCAACTGCACAGGATTGTGGTGAGATTAATATGAGATAATGAAGCTAAGAGCTCTTGGAAGATGGTACAAATGTGGGGTATTATCATTAATCCAATTTAAAATTCATGATGCCATGGAGGCATTAAAATAAAAGACTGAAAAATTTTGTGCCATTTGAGTAAAAGTTGGGAATGATGTGTTGTTAACAGCTGGGATATTTTGCTGTAAAGAGGAAAAAACCTCACATTGTATCATGAAGCAGTTAAATATTTTTTTCTTCCCACAAAAGAGCAAGTTTCAAAAGAAAAGGAACTATACTTTGAAATGTAACATATGTTTAAGTGAATTAGGGATCTTGGGGAACTAAGTTAAAAAATATCTATGAAATCATAATTTTCTGGAAAAGGAAATACAACAGAGAAATTAATAGATAAAGCATATAATAGTCTATCAAATGAAAGATGAGACACTTAGGCAAAATGGATAGTTGCATTATGTCATTAAAAGATGTATAGTGTAAATCTCCAAATAATTATTAAAGGTAAAAGTTCTTCAGTTTTATAAATAAGTATAAAAAATGAAATGTCCAGGACAGATTGAAGAAATCTTAAATACATTAAGTTCAGTCAACTTGTGAAAAAGAAACAGCACACACAAAAATGAAGGCAAGGAAATTATAGGAAAAATACCTGATTTAAAAAAATTTACACTTTGAATCTCTGTTCACATAGAAGAATCATATACATTTATGTATATTCAGTGAAAGTTAACCAAAAAATCATTCTAAAAGCATACCTATGATTTTTTTTCTTAAGTTATGACTTCACACTGTGCTTTAACAGAGTTCTGTTCTGGGGACAAAGAATCACCTGTGCAGCATGGTCCTCACCATGCACTTTTCTATCAGTTGCCAGTAAAAATTCTTATTGTCTAAAATTTAAATGTCAGTCCATGATATAGGAAGATCAAGTTTCCTTTTTGAGGGGAAAAAATCAGAATGAAAGTTATGAATAGCATGTTACCTTCTATGAAAGGCAGAGGGAAAATATGAAATAAAAATTTATAATAAATCACTGAAAATATACATAAGAAATTTATGACTTGGGGAACTTGAGTAGACTGGGAAACAGGTGGAGACAAGACTTTCATAACATACCTTTTCACATTGTTTTGATTTTTGAGTCATGAATTTTTTACCTATTAAATAAATTGTTGTATGTGTGTGTGTCTCTAAGTCCAGTACACATTGATATATAAAAACCTGTCTCACATCTGACTTAACATCTCTCACCTGCCCATGCTCAGGCCTGACACAGGCAGGGACACCTGTGGAAGAGAAGGGGCATGATGAATGTCTTCACTCTCCATGCCCCGTCCCCTGTCCCACCCACTTTGCTGCTTCTCCTTGCTCAGCAATCTGGAGAGGAGGAAGGGGTCAAAAGGTCTTACAAGACTGGTGTGTTTGTTGTCATCTGTGTGACAAATACCCAAATGTTGGTTATTTTTTTCTCCTGGGGAGCTTTTGTGCGTCCCTCAGAAACAGCTTACTATACCAAGAGGGTACTTTGTTCTCTGATATTTGGGCTGAATTTTTACAATTCCTACCCTGGCTTCTATATCAACAATCACCCCATGAAGGCTGTTTTCCACCCTCTGAAGTTGGTATCCTTTGGTCAATACCTTTAAAAGACCTCTCTAATCCACCTGCCTCATGACTTTGAAAAAACTCAGTACCTTTTCTGTGCTAAAGTCTGGAAGTGCACGTCTCTCCCTCCACAGGGTCCCTCTTTACAGTCCTCCCTTTAGGCCAAGTTTTCTTAACCTCCATGCTATTGACATTTGGGGCTAGATAATTCTTTGTTGTGGGGGATTTTCCTGTGCATTTTAGGATGTTTAGTGGTATCCTTGGCCTCTACCCGTTATGTAACAATAGCACGCCCCCATCAACAAAACAAGAATGTCTCCAGAAACTGCCCAATGACCCCTGGAAGGCAAATGGCCTGGTTGAGAGCCACAGCACTAGGCTAACAACACTCTTCAAATGAATTGCCATTTCCTAATCTCCTTACCATTCTGCTAATTATCAGGCTGGGTGATGGGGTTTAGGTGATAATCAAATACACATTGGAGACTGCCCCTTAGCAAGCCCTGCACAGAGGGTCTGATAGATAAATATCATGAGAATATGTGGGCATGTGACACCTATTTTTTCAGAAGGAACTCCGCAATCTTGAGATAATAGGAAAATTCTTACATCAGTGAAAATCAGTGTAAGCCTACACTGTCTCTGACATTTAAAAATCTGGGCCTAAGGACAGTGAAAGTAGGGGTAAAGGAGACTTTAATTTGTTTATTTTTTGACTTTATTATTGACTATTTTTTATTATTCAAGCATTTGGATTAAAATTTGTATTTTTTAAAGAAAGAATCATAATTCTTCCATAGCTACATGAAGAAGAACATTTTAAGTTTTTAATAAGATTTTGATTTTGGTTTCATGGCTAAGATATGAAAGGAGGGTCAAGAAAAAGGGAAAAAAAGAGAGAGGCAAAAAGTTAAAAGTGAGAAGAGGTTAAAACTTACCTTGTTTCATCGATATAAACTGCTTCCAGCACAGATGCTGCATATTCAATATTCTTCTTTAAGTCTACGATGTTAACATCACCTTTTTCCAGCTGCTTCACTAAGCATCTTAGTCTGTTTCCAAAAGTTGGCCAAAAAGAAAGAAAAATAAAAAGAGATTTATCATAACTGTATGGAAAATAGTCCAATATTAAATATACAAATTGGGTTAAACTTTCAGTATATCTTTCCAGGTCATTAAATAGAAATATTTTTAGGTATATTTGGGGTATAATTAAGATCAGTCTTTATCACTTAAATGACTCAGAAATTATATTCACCTCTCAATAATATTGGGGCTATAGGTTGCTAGTTTAGGTACCATATTTCAAACATAGTTTTTCTGAAAATTCAAAACAATATAGGTATTTTCATAAAAGTATTTCTAACAGTAGAATTTATTTTATGGCTGTTTTGCTCCTTCAGAGTTGGCACTAAGAGAATATTTAAAGTCTACTCTTTTGACTACCATTGTAGCAATTATTCACTGTATATAGCAGTAAAAACAAAAATAAAAGGCAAAAGATTCAAGAAAATATAATTAAGCTGAGAAAAAAATATATGTATGCATGCTTAGTATTTTTACTGCAATGGTTTTTCACTTGAAGGAAAACTATAAAATATTTTCTCTTGGTTTTGCCCATGGGATGATGTATCCCAATTGTCTGAGAAATTTTAGAACATGCCTGGACTTCTGACTCACAGAAACTGTGATGTAATTAACACTATTGTTTTAAGTCACTAAATTTTGGGATAATTTTTTGTGCAGCAATAGATATCTCATGGAGTGAGATAATACAAATTACCTCAATAAGTTTCTAACACTTTAAAAAACTTCTATGCATTAATTATAAATCCAGTGTTTCTGAAGATACTGCCCTTTACTAGGCAGAAAAAGAAAACATATTCTTTAGTCAGTACACACTATAAATAAACATTGTAAAGACAATTTACCCATTTTCCTAAATCAGCAGACAGAATTTAATTCCATTCTTAAGAAAATGTATTTCAGAGAGAATGGAGTGTATCTACTTTTAGGCACTGTCTTAAAGATAGTGTAACAGATTTTCTTTAAATTTACTTTGGGTGATTTCCAATATCAAGGTTTAGGGTATAAAGGCAAGTTAAACATTTCATCAAGGGTATTTGACATTTCTCCATCCATAAGAAATACTTTATTTCTCCATGGAAAAAAACCACACCTAGATTAAAACTTCTTATTCAGGAAGCTACAAAGAATTACTTTTTGTACCATATACTTTTGTATGATAAAATATTAGCAGAAAACAACATTGCCAAATAAATTCCATGTATAATAAACAAGTCTTATTTGTACAGAGTCAGCAAAGTAAAACAAAACAAAAATAATAACTAAAACAGGTTACTTAGAAAGAAAAAATTAAGCCTGGCTTTGAGGCTTGTGTAAAACACCGAATGTGATGATAAAGGAACAACACATAGAATTTTGAGGGATTTTTGTAATGCTTATGACCCAAGCACATTATACTTAGTGGAATTATGTTTTATGTGGGCAGCAAAAGAAAAAGTGTGATACTTTGCAATGGCTTAAAAATATTCCAGTCATGTATCCTTCTTGTGAAAAGTGTTGGTAGAGATTGGTTGTACAGCTTTGCTGTATTTGGTTGTATGATGTGGTCTTAAAAACCATGTGAACTTCAGATGGTCACCTTCCATTCTTTCTGAATAACTGAACTCCTATATTATTTAAGTTAGCAATTTTCACTACTAAAAAACTACATTTTCCAGGTTGTCTCAAAGCTACGTATGGTCAAATGACTGCATGCTGGTTAAGGAGAATAAGAAGGTCATTGAGTAAGACTTTCAGAACAATTATTTTGAAGAAGGCTAACTCAGCTAGAAGGGATTCTCTTTTACCCTTGCCTGTTCCTTATTGCCTGGAATGCAGTGGAACTGTCTGAAGGTCCAGGAGCTATATAGGATCATAAAGTGATCTGACTAAAGGAAGCTACCCACTAAGAATGGCAGAGAAGGAAGAGGGAATTGGTCTGGGTCCCATGCTGTGAATCCACCTGAATGAAATCACCTACATCTGGACTTACTTCATAAGATAACAAAAAATAAAATGTTGTGTTCAAGCCACTATTATTTTGAGATTTCTTATTTCTTATTAAATTTTGAATTTTATTTAATTTATTTTTTTATACAGCAGGTTCTTATTAGTCATCAATTTTATACACATCAGTGTATATATGTCAATCCCAACCTCCCAATTCATCACACCACCACACCCACGCCCCCGCCGCTTTCCCCCCTTAGTGCCCATATGTTTGTTCTCTACATCTGTGTCTCAACTTCTGCCCTGCAAACCAGTTCATCTGTACCATTTTTCTAGGTTCTACATACATACATTAATATACGATATTTGTTTTTCTCTTTCTGACTTCCTTCCTTCCTCTGCAAGTTTTTGGAAGAGTTTGAGAAGGATGGGTTTAGCTCTTCTCTAAATGTGTGATAGAATTCGCCTGTGAAGCCATCTGGTCCTGGACTTTTGTTTGTTGGAAGATTTTTAATCACAGTTTCAATTTCATTACTTGTGATTGGTCTGTTCATATTTTCTGTTTCTTCCTGGTTCAGTCTTGGAAGGTTATACCTTTCTAAGAATTTGTCCATTTCTTCCAGGTTGTCCATTTTACTGGCATAGAGTTGCTTGCAGTAGTCTCTTAGGATGCTTTGCATTTCTGCAGTGTCTGTTGTAACTTCTCCTTTTCCATTTCTAATTTTATTGATTTGAGTCCTCTCCCTCTTTTTCTTGATAAGTCTGGCTAATGGTTTATCAATTTTGTTTATCTTCTCAAAGAACCAGCTTTTAGTTTTATTGATCTTTGCTATTGTTTTCTTTGTTTCTATTTCATTTATTTCTTATTTTAAAATTTTTATTTATTTATTTATTTATTTATTTTTGGCTGTGTTCGGTCTTCGTTTCTGTGCCAGGGCTTTCTCTAGTTGTGGCGAGTGGGGGCCACTATTCATCGCGGTGCATGGGCCTCTCACTGTCGCAGCCTCTCTTGTTGCGGAGCACAGGCTCCAGACCCGCAGGCTCAGTAGTTGTGGCTCACGGGCCTAGTTGCTATGCGGCATGTGGGATCTTACCAGACCAGGGCCTGAACCTGTGTCCCCTGCATTGGCAGGCAGATTCTCAACCACTGTGCCATCAGGGAAGCCCTATTTCATTTATTTCTGCTCTGATCTTTATGATTTCTTTCCTTCTGCTAACTTTGGGTTTTGTTTGTTCTTCTTTCTCTAGTTCCTTTAGGTGTAAGGTTAGATTGTTTATTTGAGATTTTTCTTGCTTCTTGCGGTAGGCTTGTATAGCTATAAATCTCCCTCTTAGAACTGCTTTTGCTGCATCCCATAGGTTTTGGATCATTGTATTTTCAATATCATTTGTCTCTAGGTATTTTTTGATTTCCTCTTTGATTTCTTCAGTGATCTCTTGGTTATTTAGTAACGTATTGTTTAGCCTCCATGTGTTTGTGTTTTTTATGTTTTTTTCCCTGTAATTCATTTCTAATCTCATAATGTTGTGGTCAGAAAAGATGCTTGATATGATTTCAATTTTCTTAAATTTACTGAGGTTTGATTTGTGACCCAAGATGTGATCTATCCTGGAGAATGTTCCGTGTGCACTTGAGAAGAAAGTGTAATCTGCTGTTTTTGGATGGAATGTCCTATAATAATCAATTAAATCTATCTGGTCTATTGTGTCATTTAAAGCTTCTGTTTCCTTATTAATTTTCTGTCTGGATGATCTGTCAATTGGTGTAGGTGAGGTGTTAAAGTCCCCCACTATTATTGTGTTACTGTCGATTTTCTCTTTTATAGCTGTTAGCAGTTGCCTTATGTATTGAGGTGCGCCTATGTTGGGTGCATATATATTTATAATTGTTATATCATCTTCTTGTGTTGATCCCTTGATCATTATGTAGTGCCCTTCCTTGTCTCTTGTAACATTCTTTATTTTAAAGTCTATTTTATCTGATATGAGTATTGCTCCTCCAGCTTTCTTTTGATTTCCATTTGCATGGAATATCTTTTTCCATCCCCTCACTTTCAGTCTGTATGTGTCCCTAGGTCTGAAGTGGGTCTCTTGTAGACAGCATATATATGGGTCTTGTTTTTGTATCCATTCAGCAAGCCTGTGTCTTTTGGTTGGAGCAACTAATCCATTCATTTTTAAGGTAATTATTGATATATATGTTCCTATGACCATTTTCTTAATTGTTTTGGGTTTGGTTTTGTAGGTCCTTTTCTTCTCTTGTGTTTCCCACTTAGAAAAGTTCCTTTAGCATTTGTTGTAGAGCTGGTTTGGTGGTGCTGAATTCTCTTAGCTTTTGCTTGTCTGTAAAGTTTTTGATTTCTCCATCGAATCTGAATGAGATCCTTGCCAGGTAGAGTAATCTTGGTTGTAGGGTCTTCACTTTCATCACGTTAAGTATATCATGCCATTCCCTTCTGGCTTGTAGAGTTTCTGCTGAGAAATCAGCTGTTAACCTTATGGGAGTTCCCTTGTATGTTATTTGTCATTTTTTCCCTTGCTACTTTCAGTAATTTTTCTTTGTCTTTAAGTTTTGCCAATTTGATTACTATGTTTCTCGGTATGTTTCTCCTTGGGTTTATCCTGTATGGGACTCTCTGTGCTTCCTGGACTTGGGTGGCTATTTCCTTTCCCACGTTAGGGAAGTTTTCGACTATAATCTCTTCAAATATTTTCTTGGGTCCTTTCTCTCTCTCTTCTCCTTCTGGGACCCCTATAATGTGAATGTTGTTGCGTTTAATGTTTTCCCAGAGGTCTCTTAGGCTGTCTTCATTTCTTTTCATTCTTTTTTCTTCTGTATGTGTCCCTAGGTCTGAAGTGGGTCTCTTGTAGACAGCATATATATGGGTCTTGTTTTTGTATCCATTCAGCAAGCCTGTGTCTTTTGGTTGGAGCAACTAATCCATTCATTTTTAAGGTAATTATTGATATATATGTTCCTATGACCATTTTCTTAATTGTTTTGGGTTTGGTTTTGTAGGTCCTTTTCTTCTCTTGT